ATTTCTGAATAAGGAGTCTATTTATAATTTTTAAAGTTGTACGATTGTCTGTTTCACAAAATTTTGTCTTTGTCTCTTCCTGTCCAATAAAATTTCTTCCAGAAATTAAAGATTTTCGATGACAATGATTGGTTCCTATGTCTGTTTCTCATAATATTTTGCTAAACGGTGCTATTGTAATATTTCTATAAAACTTTTTCTTCTAATGTTCATAGTTTATAAGCACCATTATTCATCTTAGCTTGAATAATAAATGATCCTTCTCTTTTGTCTTCAAATTTAGCTGATTTTGACTTCTCTAAAGCCTTTAATTATATCCAAACTTTGTCACCAATTTTGAATTCTTCTGATCTGATTCTAGTATCAAAATATTCTTTCTGTTTCTGTTGTGACTTCTTGGTATTAACTCGAGCTTTTTCTTGTATTGTGGCCATTCTTTCTATTAGTTCATAAGCGCATTGTAACTTACTATCCTGAAGATCGATTTCTACATCAGGGTCCGGCATAGGTTCAGTAGGAATAATAGTTTTAATCAGTAGAGTAGCTTGTCTACTATATACTAGTTGAAAAAGTGTATAAGCAGTGGTAGCATGTCTTTTGGTCCGATATGCTAAGAAGACAGCAGGTATATATATATCCTATTCATCAGTTCTTTTACCTTCGTGAGTGATTCGCAAAGTGTTCTGTTAAGACGTTCAACCATTTTATTAGTCTGTGGATGGTATGGTAAAGAAAACTTGTGTTTGATAAGAAACTTTTCATATAATATTCGGATAGTTTCGCTAATGAAGTTTCTTTCTTGATCTGACAGAATTATTTTGGAAGTTCCATGTCTACAGATAATTTCTTCAAAAATAAACTTTGCTAAAGTTTCTGCTTCGGCATCTGGTACGGCTTGGTCTTCTGGCCATTGTATTAAGTAATCTGTTACTACAATAATATAGCGATTGTTCTGTTCAGTTATAGGTAGGGGTCTAACTAGGTCAATACCAATTCATTCAAAGGCTCGTCCAATTTGTATCGAATGTAAAGGTTCTTTTCTTCTACCTTTTTGTCTTTTCTGGCATTTTTTACATATCTGTATATATTCTTTAATATCTCGATATATTTGGTCCTAATAGTATTATTCGGCTATTTTGTAATACATTGCATCTGTTCCTAAATGTTTAGTGATAGGATGTTTATGGATTATATAGAGAATGAGTTCTACTTCTGTTCATTTGATAACTTGTAAAGGTTTGTTTGGGTCCTTTCTATTCTTCTTGTAAAGCAAATGGTGTCTAATTTCGAAATATCGAGCTTAGTTAATTAACTGTTTCTTCTGGTTTTCGGTAAGGTCATCTGAAATAGTGTCTGTATCTAGATACTAGTATAATTCATGATACAGGTCTAAGTTCATGATAACTTGGGCTTTTTGGTCTGAGTCTGGAATCGAGAAAGAGTATCAACATTGAAATGGATTTGTTCAGGTTTATGGATAATCTCAAAGTTATAAGGTTGTAACTTGAGTATCCAGCGTCTTAATCTTTCTTTAGGTTCAGCAGTGTGTAGCCATTTAAGAGCGTAGTGGTTTGTAATTAAAATAAATTTGATAGCTCCAAGATATTTATGAAAATGTTCAATGGCTTATACTATGGCAGCACATTCTAGTTCAGTGGCACCATAGTTTATTTCTTCTTTCTTTAGACTCTTACTAGTATAAGCTACAGGGTGTTCTTTATTATAACTGTCGAGTTGACTAAGAGTAGTACCAAATCCATAATAAAAAACATCGGTTGCTAGTATAAATATTTTACAAAAATCTGGATATCGGAGTATAGGTGTACTAATGAGTTTTTGCTTAAGTTCATTGAAAGCTTCGTGTTGCGCTTCAGTCTACTTATAGGATTCGTCCTTTTGTAGCAGCTGATTCAAAGGTTTTGCAATTGCAGAGAAGTTGCAAATAAATTGTCTATAGTATCCTACTAATTTTAGAAAAGATTGTAACTGAGTTACATTCTTAGGAGGTAGGATTAGTTGAACAGCTTTGATTTTTTCTAGGTCTGGGACAATTCCTTTAGGTGATATGATGTGTTCTAGAAATGGTAATTTTTACATCCAAAAATTACATTTTTCTATGTTTAATTGTAATCTGGCATGTCTGATTCTAGTAAAGACTTTACGGAGGTGTTGCAAATGTTTATCAAAAGTCTTGAAAAATACAATAGTATCATCTAGGTATACTATTACGAATCTCTATATAATTTTGTTATAAACTTGGTCCATCAATCATTGGAAGGTCGCAGGAGCATTACACAGTCCAAAGAGCATGACGTTAAACTTATAAGTTCTATAGCGAGTAACAAATGCAGTCTTTTCTCGGTCTCTTGGGTGTATAGTTACTTACCAATATCTACTAGTGAGATCTAGTGTAGAAAACCAATGAGATCTAGCGAGAGTGTTTAACATCTCATCAATTCAAGGTAGCAGGTAGGCATCTTTCTTAGTAATGCTATTTAGCTTTCTGTAGTCTACACAGAAACATAATTTGCCATTCTTCTTTTGTTCTAATACAATAGATGAGGTCCAGAAGCTATTCGATAGTTGTATTAGCTTATTGTCTAGCATATGTTATATTTCTTCTTTAATGAATGCTTGTTCACTAGGAGGTATACACAATGTCATTTTGGGGGTTTTGGGACAGTTAGACTTAATGATGAGGTAAACATACTTGCTTCGTCACTCAAATGATGAATGATTTATATTTGCTTTGTTATTTTTGGTTAGATTTTTTTTTTATGTTATTTTACTTGATATTGAAATCTCTTGAAATTAAGTTAAATTATATATTTGTTTACGCTTTTTATATTTCTTTTGCAAGCTAAAATACATAGTAATTATTAAATCTAACCAAAAAGTCTAACTGAATTTTTTATACTACTCTGTTTGACAATAACAAACAATAAAATTCAGTTAAGTCATATATTCATTTTATACTTTTTATATTTCTTTTGCAAGCTAAAATACATAGTAATTATTAAATCTAACCAAAAGTTTAACTATTTTAATACCAAAAATTTAATATATTATCTTGAGCTTATAATTTTCTCAGATTTTGTTCTTGATAAATAAAAAGTTAGGACAAAATTAATACATCTATAATTATTAAATCTAACCAAAAGTCTAACTATTTTAATATTAAAATAATTTTAGTATTGAAAAAATATATATTAGGAATTGTTTTAAAAATCATTTTAATATTAAAAATCCTTTTTAGTTAGAGCTTCTAGAACAATAAAAATAAATACGCTTTAAAATAACTTGAATTAAGTTTCTAATATACAAAAATTAGCAATATAATAAATCTAACGAAACTATCCTAAGTATATAACATACATGATATATATTATTTAATATTTTTCAAGGCTTTGACACGTAATTTTTGATAGTATTGAGCCACATAGTACCCTCTAATATGTAAAGAGCATTGATCAGAAGTTGAACTAGTAGGCTTCCCACAATCACTACAAGGGACGCATTTTTTAGTCTTCTAATAAAACCGGCAACTCTCAGAGCGAATGCAAGGTCTAGTACAAACAAAACCAGAATTATGAATATAAGAGCACAAATACTCACCAATTATTTTTAAATATAGGATATAAAATAATTATTTAAAGAAAAGATTTTGTATAAGTAAATATAAACGTTTTGGTTAGACTTAATATAACTTATGACTAGAAAAGATAAAAAGAATAGAAGTTGTAAACATTGTGGATATATATGCACAATGCTACAAAAACTTCGTGAGTATCTTAATAGAAAGAATCCATACAGACCCTGCATTTCTCTAGTACTTTTGCCTCAAAATCCAGAACCATTGCTAGAGCCAAAGCAAAATTCTGAATTATTGCTAAAAAACTTATTTCAAGTAGTAGAAACTCACGAATTTAGCATAAAAAATGCTAATGATAGATTACCTGATGAAACTATCTGGAAATGGGGTTCAAGATTACGAAAAAGATATAAGGAACTATGTTATGAAGATTATAATTAACCACAAACTTTAAGAGCTTGCCAAGTTCTTTATGATACTTTATTACAAATAGATGAAGAAGCATATAATAATATAGAACCTACAAAGCAGACAAAAGAAGAACAAAAATTCTTTGAAGAACCTAAAATTGAGCTTGTTAAAAGACAAGTTATAGACCCTTATAAAGCTGGCCCAGGACCAAAAACTCAAGCTTATTAGGTGGAAAAAAACAAACAATTTGAGAATATTACTTTGGAAGCAGACCAAACAGATAAAGAATTTGAGCGTCTCAGTATGATTACTGGGGATAATGAAAAAAGTATAATATTTAGAGAGCAAAACATAGGACCTGCATTAAAAAGGCGAGCTGTTGCCGTACATAATACAAAAGTTCCAAGATATCATCCAGATAATGGGAGTAATATCAGAAAAATGTTAGAAAGTCAAAAAAGACCATTTCGGGAATTGCTTGAGAAAGAGTTTAATAAATGAGGTCAATTCAAAATTTCATTATGTTCTCTTACAAAATTCCTTATCCCTTAAATTGTAATACAGGCAAATTTGCCTGCGTTTATTTTTTTAAACTTTATTTTTTTAATAAAATCT